CACAGACGCTAACACAGTCAGCTGTCGAGACTACTGCCTGTAAACATGAACAACCGGTAGCCGAAGCACGCACGCGCACACCTGAAAGGGCTACGAAACCCCTCCGAAGACTAGGGATGAACTCGTCGATTTCCTACATCATCCGACCCTTCAAGCCTGGCTCTGATGCACTCCTGGCAGGTTGCAGCACTCCCTGTTTCCGTGGATGCTCACCGGACGGTCGAATTCGAGGTGCACTACGCCACAAGGAATCGCCCGCATTGTCAGCCTGCCTCCCGCCCCGCGGCCATCAATTCTTGAGAGCCTCTGTGCATGCAATCAACGGGCTGATGTCCCGGTGCCAAGGCAACTTGTCAGAGATGTGTAAGCTGAAAGTCGGGTTGGCTGGTTGGGTCGAGTGGAAAGGAAAGAGCTGTCTCAACGCCTGCCAACAGCTGCACAAGTAGTCGGCTCTGGCAGGCAGCCTCACAAGCCTCGATAGCTGCACTGCAGCTGATCACGTTCGGAGATTGCATCATCGACAAGAGGTGTAGCCCCAACTGCCACTGCAGGCCCCTCCTGCAGGTGGATATGGCCGCACTGAGGCATAGCTCGTTCGGATGCAGCTGAACTTTTTCCATGTCGGCCAGCAGTAGCAGCACAGCCGGCCAGCGCCCATTACGTTCGCAAGCACTGATAGCCTTGGTTTCCCAGTAGCCCCTTAGAAATATGCCCTTTTTCCTACTACTTGGTTTAACTAAGGGAACCCCAAAAAGCAAAAGGGCAAAAGGGCCCCACTGGGAAACCTAGTAGCAGCACCAAAGCTTGTCAGGTTTAGGTTAGTGTTTGGCTCCCACTTCATCATCGCCAGCAGATGCAGAGCCATGCTCCACTCGCTGGCTTTTTCACAGGCACTCACCGCAGCTCCGAAAGTCACTTCATCCTGGGTTCTTTAGTAGGGGATTGAAATTACGTTACTATAATAAGGAAACCATAATATGTACTATAGATCCCTATTATGGTAACTTAAATCAAATCCTTTAATAAAAACCCAGCAAGGAAGCAACTACAATAATAATAGGGAAACCATGTTATTTGCTATAGATCCCTATTATGGTAACTTAAATTAACATCCTTTAACAAGAACCCAGCAGCAGGAAGCAGCTTGGCCGCAGGCAGGTCGGCGAAAAGGCAAAGAGCCATTTGCCAGTGTCCCACTTTCTCACAGGAGCTGATGGCAGCATTGAAGCTAATAACATCGGGGGCCTGCAAAAACCTCCGGAGATCTGAAAACAGATGCAGAGCCATCTGCCATTGCCTTACTTGTCCAGTTTCATAAGATTTAGTTTCAGGGTTCCGGGCTTAGGGGGGAGTTGAAGGTGAAGCTTCCGGATGAATAGAGAGGCAAGACGAACCCGATGGTCAAACGGGCCAAAGGCCAAAAACCTAAACCCCAATCTTTCAACCTTAAGCTCTAAACCCTAAACCCTAAACCCTAAAGCCCTAGATCCTAAATCCCTAAATCCTAGACTAAATCCCTAAATCCTAGACTCTAAACCCTAAACCCTAAACCCTAAAGCCCGAGATCCTAGACTCTAACAACCCTACACCCATAAACCCTAAAGCCCTAAATCCCTAAATCCTAGACCCCAATAACCCTACATACGCACTTAAACCCTGAACCCTAAATCCCTAAGTCCATAATCCTAACAACCCTACACCCTTAAACCCTAAAGTTCTAAATCCCTACATCCTAGACTCTAATAACCCTACACCCCTAAACCCTAAACCCAAAATCCTCTCAAGGCTCCCCTCTGCCACCAAGCTGCCCTCCTCGCTCACAGGAGCTCATGGAAGCGTTGAAGGAGATGAGATCCGGCAGAAGCCCTAAAGGGGCGGTTTCGGGTTTAGGGTTTAGGGTTTAGGATCCGCAGAAGCCCTAAAGGGGCGAGTCGCTAGCTGTGAAAAGGAGGCCCCAAACACTACCTCTGGTTAGGTTTAGGGTTTAGGGTTAGGTTTTAGGCTTTCGTGTTTCGTGTTTAATTAGGGTTTAGGATTAGGTTTTAGGCTTTCGTGTTTAGGGTTTAGGGGCTCGAGTTATAGGGTTTAGGGTTTAGGGTTTGGGGTTGAAAGCAATCCGAACTCGCTGCCTGGCCTACAGATGGCATTGCTGCGAGCAGATGAAGTGACATTTGCCAATGTCCTCTTCGCTGGCAGGCGGTGATTGCCTAGGTTCCCCAGAGACTCCAATAGCCCTTAGTTAAGGAATATATACCTTAGGGTTTAGGGTTTTTAAGGGCTTTATAGGGATTTATAGGGTTTTATAGCTCCCTTAGTTAAGGAATATACCTTAAATCTTAATAGGAACCCTAATAAGATTTAAAGTATATTCCTTAACTAGGGGATACTGGAGTCTCTGGTTCCCCAGTTATCCCTCGATAGTACCGGCAAGTGCCTTTTTTTTGCTGTTATTCCATTTCAATACCCTTACGTACCCTCAAAGGACTCATATTAGACTCATATTTGAAAGGCTTTTGGGCCCAAAGACCCTATTATAGAAGGCTTTTGGGCTACTTTGATGCTAAGGGATAAGGAGCTGCCCCAAAAATTTGAAAAAGACGTAAGAACCCGGTTGCAGAGTTGTAGCAGATCTGGCTTGGCTGCATTCTTGTCCCGACGCTTGCCTCGAGCAGCTGCAGCGCAGCCTGCCATGCAAGACCCGGGTAGCTTTCTAAATTAGGGTCCCTTTTGGGGGTCCTTTTTTATAAGGGTGCCGCACTATATTGGGGGGACCCAAAAAGGGACCCGAATTTAGAGAACTACTCATCTAGATGCGGGTTTGGTAGATGGGGTTTGCGGCTGACTAGAGTTTACGGCCAGGTTTCCCAAGTACCCCCACTAAAAATAGGGAGACGCCGGTTGTCGCAATCGATAGCGAGGCTCCAACACAGACAGTGTACGCGTACTACTGGGAAACCTGCCAAGCTTAGAGGGTTCAGGGTCGTTTAGGGTTTAGGCTTTTTTGGGTTTAGGGTGTAGGTTTTTGTTTGGTTTAGAGTTTAGAGTTTAGGGTTTAGGGTTTAGGGTTTAGGGGGCAGCCAAAAAAGCGATGTAGCACTCTGAAAACCCGAATCCCACAACCCAAAACCTTCACCCCCAACCCCAAAGCCCAACAGTGAAAAGAAGGTAACCGCTTAATCTTGTGATCTGGTTGACATGCCTCTTGTGGCGATGATTGAAAATAGCAGCTAACCCTCCTATCACATGATGCTAGACCCCAAGCATCCATAAACCATTGTAGAGCTCTGATGGATCGATCCATCCCATGCAGAACCTTCCTAATGTACCTTTCAACATAAGTGCAAACAAACACAAACAACCCTCATCAAGTCAACCTTTTGCGGGACCTTTAAACGCAAGAGCGCCGCCCTAACCCTAAACCCCCCAAACCCTCAAGCCCAACAGAAGCCCTAACCCCTAGCACCGAAACCCCAACACCCTAACCCCCTCATAGAACCCTTCTAGGAGCCCCTGTTTATCGAAACCCTTAAAGGGGACCCTTGAGGGAACACCTGTAACTCTCTTTACCTGCAGTTTAGCAGCCATGACACCTTAATTCGTAGGTAGAACCCATAAAACTGTAGGTAATTAGAGCCCCAAAACCCTAAACACCAAAAACCCTAAACCCTAAACCCCTAAACCCCTAAACCCACTGTAGGAAACCAGAGTCCCAGGCAGCGCCTGCGTCTGCTCCCCTCGGCCCAGCGCCGCGATCGCCGCCCCCAGAATGGTTTGATTTGGAGTCACCCGGAACTTGGCCATCTCCTGCCGGGTTTTGGGCTCTTGGGTTTAGGGTTTAGGGGTTTAGGGTTTAGGGGTTTAGGGTTTAGGGTTTAGGGTTTTAGGGTTAAAGTTTAAGGTTTTAGGGTTTTTTAGGGTTTAGGGGGTTAGGGTTTAGGGTTGAGGTTCTAAGCTGATCTGCAGAGACGTGAGATGTGCATACACAAGCCCGTTAGGGCTTTGGTTCCCATTTCCTGCTATGGATCTTCAAAACTATAGACCCGGAGCCCAAAGCCCTATCTTAGTGGGTTTACCATTACCCTAAACCCTAAACCCTAAACCCTAAAACCCTAACCCAAACATTCTTAACCCTAAATCCCTAAATTCAGGGGTGCTGAAGGTGTGCATTGGCTCCTCCTGCAGCACGCGAAGAGCCACAGCCCACTGCTCCCCCTTCTCACAGGCACCTCGGCTTCCATCGGGTTTTCTACTCCGTGGGCCGAGTACCCTAGGGTTTAGGGTATAGGGTTTAGGGTTTGGGGTTTGGGGTTTAGGGGCTCAGGGTTTAGGGTTTAGGTTTTAGGGCCCAAGAAAGGTTAGTTAACCTTTTGAAGTATAGTAGTCCGATTATAAGCCTCAAAAGGTCAAAGGTTCCCTACTCAGCCTCTAAGTCTATAAGGATGCATGGGATGTTACAACGGGTTCATAAACTCGGCTAAGCCTTGAACCTTAAATCCTAAACCCTAACCCGCACCCTAAACACCCTAAACCCAAACCCCAAACACTACATAAACCGTAGACGACCTAGGCACTGATGGCCGCGCTGAAGGTGAATTCGTCCGGAGAGGCAAAGCCAAGAAGGACCGAGTAGATTTCAAGGGCTGCCTGACACCAAACGCCTTAAAAGGGTTCCTTGAAGGGATCCGTAAAGGGATCCATAAGAGCTCTAGGGGTTAGGGATTTAGAATTTTTAAGGCTTTGGGATTTCAGGATAAGGGTTTAGGGCTGAGTGTTTAGAGTTTGTAGCCTCGGGCTTAGGGTTTCTAGGATTTTTTGTACCGATTTTAAGCGCTTTCTAGGGGCCGAAAGGATGTCGACACGTTTTCGGGATTTAGGGTTTAGGGTTTATACCGGGTTTAGGGTTTAGGGTTTACATAGGGTTTAGGGTTTATGTAGGGTTTAGGGTTTAGGGTTTATTTGGGGTTTAGGGTTTATATTTTAGGGTTTAGGAAAGGACGAGCCTCCCAGTGTCCGGATTTGGCGCATGCACTGATGGCTGCATTCAGCGTGATAGCATCCGGCAGCACCTGGGGCGTATAGAGCTTTACGGCCTTTAGGGTTTAGGGTTTAGGTTTAGGTTCTGCAAAATGGGGTGTAGGATTCAGGATTTCGCGGTTGGCGTTTGGGGGTGGATCCATACCTGCAAAGAAGCCTTTCAAGATACTGGGAAACCCGAACCACAAAAGCAAAAAAGAATCCCTAACAGAGATCAAAGTACTTCGGTATGGTACATGTGGTGCAGTAGCTGAAGGGCTTCTTGCCACTTCGCCGCCCTTTCACAGGACGTCACTGCGGAACTGCAGATGATCTGATTAAGCCAGAGCGTGGCGTGGAGCATGTCCGAAAGCAACTGGAACGCGTGCTCCCATCGTCCCACGCGTGCACACGCATTGATAGCTGCTCCTATCACCTGCGTGATGGGCCGCACTGACCCAAAAAATTAAGACTTTAAGAACCCCGTCGGGGTCTAAGACTACTGAAATGAAGCTCACAACGAAATCCGAAGGAACACCCAGTCACGATCTGGTTCGGCAGCACCCTGCATGCCGGCATCAGCCGCAAGATGCTCAGAGACGCCTGTCAGGGAACCCTTCACCCTAAAAGCTAAACCGAAAGCCGCAAACCCTAAACCCTGAACCCTAAAACCCTAGGCCTAAAATCCTCAGCCCTAAACCCTGATAAAGCCCTTAAGCCCTAAACCCGAAACCAAAGCCTTGAACCCCAAAACCCTAAACCCCTCAAACCCTACACGCCTGCCAGGCGGTCGCCCTCCCCGAGCTGTTGATCAGTGCACCAAAGGCCCGCTGATCTGAAGCAAGTCGGCGAGAAACCTGGGCCTAAACCCTAAACCCTAAACCCTAAATCCTAAACTCTAAACCCTAAACCCTAAACCCTAAATCTCTTGTTCAGGTTTTAGGGCTTAGGGTCTTCAGTTGGAGATTCAAGGCTTAGGTTTCTTCGTGCCTTTTTTTGTGGGGTTGCTGAAAAGGCTTTGTAGGATCTTTTAGGGGTTTAGGGTTTAGGGTTTAGGGTTTAGGGTGATGCCTTGTGTGGGCTTGCTTAAAGGCTTTTTTGCAGGGTTTAACAAAGTTTTTTCTAGGACCCGCAGCCTCCTCTTCGCGCTACGAGGATGAACCAGGAGAACCCGTCAGGGAAGAGGATACAAGGTTTCGGGGTTAGGGGTTTAAACCCCTAAACCCTAAACTCCTAAACCCCTAAACCCTAAACCCTAAAACCCTTTAGGTTTCTTGTGGGACCTAGAAGCCAAGAGATCCAGGGCAGCTTGCCAGTGGCTTTGCTTGCTCAGCGACAGCACCGTGGCGCCAGGTTCTTGACCGGCCATGGCAGTCATGCATGCTTTAGGGTTTAGGGTTCAGGGTTCCCGGAGAGCCCAACACCCCCCGTAATAGAGGCATATCGGCTTGAATCCTAAGTCACAGCGCCCCTATCACTCAAAATATACTGTAGAGGCCTTAGTAATTACAACAGGGCTTTGGGGTCCACTCTACTATAGATATACATAATAAGGTCCCCCCCAAAACAATATCGACAACTGTTTATGTAGGCCCCTCCTACCTTACTAGATTCCTTAGCTGTTGGGGTCTTGACAACCCTAAAACCTCAACCCTAAACCTCGCTGGGCAGAAATTCTTGAGCCAAAGCTAGCAGCTGCCCTCCACTTCCCAACGAAACCCTAAACCCTAAACCCTAAGCCCTAAGCCCTAAACCCTAAACCCTAAACCCTCCACTGCCTTTGGAAGTGCCTGCTGGCCTTCCCAACGAAACCGGCAAGCAACCTGGACCCCCCCCCCCCCCCCCCCC